GGAGGGGCTCACGGCGTCATTTACCTCCCAAACCCCCTCCCGCTTAAACACGCCGCGTGAAGACGTGTTTACTTCCGGGATGCCTCCGAGGTCAGCCCACACAGGTCACAGCCGGACCCAGCGGGAGACGCGCTGCCCCCGGCGCCCACTCACCCTGCGCGCTTTGCTCTGGTACTTGATGGCTTTCTTCGTCTCCTCCTTGGCGTGTTCCACGTAGTCGGCCGCGTTCATCACGTTCTTCTCGATGTTGTTGATCATTTCACCCTGAAAACAAAGCGTTCCGCCTCAGGAGCCGCTCCCGGGCCGCCGTCTCCGAGACGCCGCGAAGCCGGGGAGGTGCGCACGTGAGCGCGAGGCGTGGGATGGACCCGGGTGCCGCTCTGACGTTCACGAGATGAGACCGTGCCAAACGGCCCGACACGAAGTCACCACAACCGGTCCGAGTTTTGGAAAGAGCAGAAGGGATGGCGGCACATGGTGACAGCTGAGCGGTGGGCGCGACGCCGGCGGCCGAGGGCATGAGCGGGAATGTCGGCGAGGGGCGTGCGGGGACATGGCGGGGGGGGTACCTGGTGTCCCGTCCACCTGCAGACGCAGCTGCAGCGGCAACGTCAGGCATGGGAGAGGACGCACAGTTAACTCACGTCTCAGTCTGACGCCCGCTCCGAGTTTGACTACACACACATTGTGAATTAGGTGAGTGGACGCCACGCACTGCGCACAGGCCCCCACGGGAAGCCGGGGGCAGGACTCAGACACAGCAGGACGGGAAAACGCACAGCGTTCAGGGAAGAGCATTAAACTCCCGGGGCCACTGTCATCACAGCTCATGGCCCGTTTCCCGCCCTCTGCGAGTTCTGTCCGGGAGCCAGGCTCATGGCATGGTGTATATAACACACACATGCGTCATATGTATGTTTATACACGTGTGTGTATAGTCTCTACGTAAAGTTTTACAGATCCCTGTGAACTTGGAAGTCCAGCATTTGTCTATCTCAGTAAAAACCCGCAGTGTCGGCCTGTGGACTGAAGGGTTCTGGGTTCGATTCTAGTCAAGGGTACAGACCTCAGCTGCAGGCTCCTCCCCAGCCGGGGCCCTGGTCAGGCGCGTGCAGGAGGCAACCAATGGCTGTGTCTCTCTCACATCGATGCTTCTCTCTGTCTCTCCCCTCCCTTCCTCTCTAAACATCACTGGGAAAACGTCCCAGAGGGAGGAGTTCAAACAAACAAACAAACAACACAGCCTCAGGGAAGAGGAGTGTGTGTCCCTCTGGCTGCCCAGCAGGCGCCCTGTGGACACACCGATTCCATTAACCAGCCAGCCCCTGCTGCGGGCAGTCTGAGCCAGCAGCCGCCAACCTTTCGGACCTCACCGCCCACCAGCGGCCGCCAACCACGGTTTAAGCTGCTCCCAGCACTTCGGCCTCACGCTGCAGTCACGGCCATCAGCTCTGAAGCCGAGGCTGCATCCGACACAGCGGCTTCCCCGGGCACGGGGTCACCCGCGGATCTCACAGCGGCCCCCCGCCCCCCGTCCCCCCTGGCGCTGCGGTCACCTGTGTCTCCACGAACATGGCCATGTCCATGAACATCTCGTGCAGCTCGCGGATGCTGGTCTCCAGCCGCATGATGTCCTTGTGCCGCGACTCGATCTCGTTGAGGGCCTGTCTCGTGACGTGTGAGTCGGAGATGATCTGTGGGAAGCGGGGGATGCTGAGGACGGGGCCCTCGCAGGCGGGGACGCGCGGGCGGACGCGCAGGGCGGGCGGCACTCACGTCGGAGGTGAAGATGGAGGGGTTCCCGCTCTCCAGCATCGTCTCCAGCTCCTCGTCTGTGGTCGTCTTCCCAGCTGGAAGGTCAAAGCCAACCTCCCCTCGGTGACCGCCCTGAGGAGGGACGGTCCAGCCCCGCCACCCACGGGCCCCCGAGCCCTGAGCCGTCACCGCCTTCCCCAGCCCCCGCCCCTGAGCACGCGCTCCGAGGCGTGTCCATGAGGAGGCCGCCCGAAGGCCGGGAGCAGGAGGACCGAGCACTCCCCAGAGCCTTCTCATGGGGGAACCAGGAGGCTCAGCTACGGGGCGAGGAGACGACGTGCTGTGTCCTGGACGGTCGGCTCTGGCTTGGGGCTGC